TACATTTCGTCTTTATGTTTAAATATATACATATATATGTGTATATGTAGCTATATGTATGTATATTCTACCTATATATTATTCACCTCCAGCTATTAGACTGCAGCCTTATAAATTGCATTGGGTAAAATAAACATTTTGCTTTCTTTATCTGGAGTGCATTTTAATGAGCTGTGAGAAAATATTTGAAAGCAATTTAATTTTTGAAAGAAAAAGCGCAAATAATCTTAAAATAGAGATCTTAGATTAAAAAATATATGAAATATAAATATATTATATTAAAAAGAACTGTAGATTTGACATGTCATTAAAATTTTAATATAAGTACTTTGTGTTGGAATGTATTATATTTTTAAATGTTTTTCCATACTAATATAATTATAATCACATTAATATATTTAAATAGAAAATAAATAAATAAAATATAATTTTAAATTTAAATAACACTAAATATTAAAAAAAAACTACTTTAAAGATTTTTCCTTATTGAATTTTCCTTAACATTTTTCGTTTGCAGTGCCTTTTTCCGGTTTTCTTCCCTCCTAAGCAAATAACAAAAACACAAACACCATGGACGCCATCAAGAAGAAGATGCAAGCGATGAAGCTTGAGAAGGATAATGCCATTGATAAGGCAGATACCTGCGAGAATCAAGCTAAGGATGCCAACTCCCGCGCCGACAAACTCAATGAGGAGGTGCGCGACTTGGAGAAGAAATTTGTTCAGGTTGAGATCGATTTGGTCACCGCCAAGGAGCAGCTGGAGAAGGCCAACACCGAATTGGAGGAGAAGGAGAAACTGTTGACCGCCACGGAATCCGAGGTAGCCACCTTGAACCGTAAGGTGCAACAGATTGAGGAGGATTTGGAGAAATCTGAGGAGCGCTCAACCACCGCACAACAGAAGTTGTTGGAGGCCACACAGTCGGCCGATGAGAACAACCGTATGTGCAAAGTATTGGAGAACCGTTCCCAGCAGGATGAGGAGCGTATGGATCAGTTGACCAACCAATTGAAGGAAGCTCGCATGCTCGCTGAGGATGCCGATACCAAGTCCGATGAGGTCTCCCGCAAGCTGGCCTTCGTTGAAGATGAGCTGGAAGTGGCTGAGGATCGTGTCCGCTCCGGTGAATCCAAGATCATGGAGCTGGAGGAAGAACTGAAGGTTGATACAACACATCAAATTCCTTTTCCAAAATACTATGAAACTCGTTACTTTCAATATAGGTTGTCGGCAACTCGCTGAAATCTCTGGAAGTGTCCGAGGAGAAGGCCAACCAGCGCGTTGAGGAATTCAAGCGTGAGATGAAGACCTTGTCCGTCAAGTTGAAGGAAGCCGAACAGCGCGCCGAACAGGCTGAGAAGCAAGTCAAGCGCCTGCAGAAGGAAGTCGACAGGCTAGAAGGTATGTCAATCCTTAATCGAACTATAACTCCCAAATATATTTACTCGAACCATATCGGTGCGCCAATGAGATGCGCGTGCACCTGCCCTATACGATATATGAATTACGATATACGATATACGATATACGATATGTAAATATCGCATTCAAGTTCTAAAAACTCAAATGCAGCTTCAACTAATACGAACAGTCTATATATACTTATATCTTATACTATAATGTACATATGTTGATTGTTGGTTATCCACAATAATACACGCTGCTTTTATTAATTGTACATATGTAATATAATTATAAAATAAACAACAAATGCTTTTTGCAGACCGTCTCTTCCATGAGAAAGAAAAATACAAAGCAATCTGCGACGATTTGGACCAGACATTTGCTGAACTTACTGGATATTAAAAACCAAATAAGAAAAACAAATTGTCAAACAGTTCCCATAATGACATACACACACACTCTGACATACGTCCAAACACACACACATACACGCACATACAGAGACACAAGCAAATGTATTCCCCTAACATATTTCGCATTATTCATATTCCCTACTGTTGGACACTGTGCAGATCAGTCACAATTTACACTGTAAATAATTTGTATAGTCTTGTGGTTGCTCTCCAACATACCACCCAGCCCTCAGATACTATTACACTGTAAAAACAAAGAAACAGTTCCACTCTCTATATGCCAACTGTAGTTATTTATGCTTTCGAATCAACAGGTGATTTCCATTATCTTATATATATGTATCGAAAACAAAAAACAAAGTTAATTTCTGTTTAGTGCAAAGTTCTTTTCTTTTGTTTAATGTGGCATGTCCAATTGTCTTGCCTACCCAGACACAAAAACAAGCCCAACTTTCGACTATACTATCCGTGCAGCGCCTTTGCTGCTCATATCTCATTATTTAGACTGCAGTTCGGATGGCTTTTGCCAAGGCACTACTTGACAGATGTTGAATACACACTCATGTAGCTCAGTTTTGGGTCATCAAAGGCTCGCTCATTGCACACTTAGAGATTTCTTGTTCCCGAACACCACTCTATGAACCTCACTCAGACACAATACGCATTCCTTTTTATGTAATTTACAAATACTAACTAAAAGAAATATATTTACATATATGGAAACGCTTGTCAACGGCGCAACACTAAACTGATATATTAACCCGGCACACTTATTTCTTACAGTGTATCACAGCCAACTGCTGGCAACGTGGCTCAATATTTATGTTACTTGTGTTCAAATAAATGTTGCACTCTCTGTTTACTTATCCGCCAATATTCCGTGCCAATTATTAATACTCCATATATATTATTCGATTCACAGACGAGCTGGGCATCAACAAGGACAGGTACAAGTCTCTGGCCGACGAGATGGACTCCACATTCGCCGAATTGGCTGGCTACTAAACATGGCCTCTGCTCCGGACGATAGTAGAGAAAGAAGAAGAAGAAGAAGTGGAACTCAATTTAATGTAAACGATTATCATCTTAATATCATTTTGCAAATCAAAAAAGAAAGAAAAACCAAATACCAAGAACAACATCTTTTGTGTATATCTTTAAATCAAATCTATTTCTAAATAAATAAATAATAACAACAACAACATCGACAACAACAGCAGCAACAACAACATGAACAATTATCTGAATTCAAGAATAATTTTTTGTATTTTTAAAGTCATGTTTTAAAAATATTAAGAACTCGAGCAGTAACTAACCACCCAATCCTTAGTAGCACGAGATTTAAATAAATGAAAATATATATACAGAGAATGAGAAAAAGAGAGAGAGCGAAGCGAGCAAGAGAGAGACCTAATATATATCTATGCTGTTAAGAATGATGAATGGTTGAAAATTTCAAATTTTATAATATATTAAAGAAAAAAACCCAGAAAATACGAAAAAAAAAACTATATAAAATTTATAAAAAAAATTACAAAAAAATTATATGTTGATGTTTGCTTTGATGAGAACTTACAACTTATTGTCTTTGCATGGAACAGAGCTCTCAATTCTTTATTGTGGGGCAATTCGCTTTAATTAAATTACTCTTAAAGGGCAAAAGGTGCTAAATGGTTTTGTCAAACTTACGCAGAATCTGGGGAATCCAAGGTCAATGCTTGAAGGCCAGGGCCAGAGAAAGTTGTCGAGTTTCCTAATCGAATTTGTATCGCACAAATGATACAGTTTTATCGTAGATCGAAGAAGCGCAGATTTAAGAAGCAACAAAAAGCCACATATTTTGTTTAAAATTTAGACTGAATTTGGATTTCTACGTATAGCTTGAGAAACGTCTGCCGTAACTCTTCATAAGGTTTTAAAGAAATGCAAAACACGTTGGGAAAACCCCTTCGCACAAATAAATAATTACACGAAACACGAAATGCGTCATCGAACCAGACCAAAGTCGAGAAGAGACCTTCGTTGCAACATGCTTAAATTGATGGCTAATAAGCAGTCAAAATAAGTCGCAATGAAAGTCAATTTGAGCATGTTGATCAGCTCAGGGCAACCGATCCAAAATAATTTTAATATGTCTCTCGAGAGCACTTACAGTCATGTGGGCAGAGCGGGAAACACGCTCCACGACTCACGGATGCTGGTCGCATTCATTTTGGGCCGTTCGCCTCTAAAGTCATCAATGAGCGAGCGGCAACTCAATGGATTAATCAAGCTTTAATGATATGCAAACTGGCTCAAACTCAACTGCCATTTCTTTGAAAGCCAACTTTGTAGAAATGATTTGTGAATAGTCATGACAAACATAAATTATCGTAAAATATATGTATATTTTTATTTTTGCATTTTGATAAACAACTTATAAACAAAATAACAGGATGCATAATTTTCAAAAATATATATCCTAAACTTCTATAATTATTATATACTTAACGCATTTTAATATACATTTGAGTCTTGGCAACGATCTATTTACAAAAAAACAATTAATTGAATAATGATAAAAGGTTATCACATTAAGATGAGCATAATTTGAAAAATCATTTCAAAATATATATAATAATTATATATATTTTATTATAATAGCAACAACAAGGACTTTAATAAATAAATAATCTTTGGCTTGGCTTACATATCTAGCTTTTTATTAGAAAACCTGAAAACTTACTTTTTTAAGAACTAGTTTTAAAACACTTTTATAAAAAGCATGTGAAACTTTAATAAAGTAAAAGGCATTACAGGTTACAAGGTAATACAGTATCTTGAATTTAAAAAGAAATACAATACAATTTTATTAAATAGCTCATATAAAATCTATACTATGAATGTAAATTTGATATCTAATCAAATTTTGGAAATTCCAAACAAGATTCGGTTAATATAGCTGAGCATTTTTTATTAGTCAAACTTTGAATAATCCTAAAATAACTTAAATATTTTATACAATTTTAAAGACGATTTATGCTCATTTATTGTATTGTATTGAATTGTCATACTTGAGCTTCATTTGAGCAATAAAACCCGTTTTAAGAGTAAATAAATAAGACTCAGTTGCCCAGTAGTCGACTTTTCGATAATAAGTAAGGTTAATTAATTTGTATTTACCAATAAACTGGAGTAAACAATTAAAACGCACTCGCACTAAGTTTAACAACAGTGCCGAAAAAGGCGCCGCCATCAAATAGACTTAAACAATACAAACAAACAGCGGCAAACCCAATGACTTACATTCGTGAAGAGCGTCGGAGAAAGTGAAATTTTGCATTTAACGCAGGTAAAAAAAAAATATAACTGAATAAAAAAACCGCGCCATGGTCATGACAGAGCCAGCCCCAACCACAGCGCCAATTGAAGCTCAGTCTCAGTCTCAGTTTGAGTTTGAGTGGCACAAGAAGCGGACGCGACTCTTAGAAACCGAAAGTGTTTTTCATTTTCTTTTTTATTGCATATTGTATTTCTTGTGATTATTATTCATAGGGAGTGTGAGTGGAATCTGTAAGCAAACATTACATGTCGGTAAAGAAACTAATGATGTGTCGTCATGTCTGCATATGGCTCATATGTCTGGGCCTTTGCCCCGGGTTATGCAAGCCGGACGGCAGTGAAACTATGCAAAAATACGCAAATGAATCGTTGACGGACGCCTCCAATTGGTCACAATTTCTCGAAGATTATGTGCTAAGGTGTGTGTGTGTGTGCGTGTTAGTTGGTGATTCAGATGGATGATTATATTTAACTTGTGTCAATTTGTAGCCAGAGCAGCAGCCAGCGCATGTCTAAGGATCTGGCCTATATGGGCGGCGAGATGAGCGGACCCATTAATTATCATTCCTCGGCATATAGGCGACCGGGCAACAATATTTATATTACTCGCCGCATTGGTGAGGCTGTGGAGCTAGAGCCGCATCTTCGCGCGCCGGTAGAAAGTCAAGGCCCGATGGTCAATCCACAGTTTCGGCCCATGACAAACCAAATGTTGCACCAGCAGCAGCAGCAGCAACAACTACAGCAGCAGCAGCAACAACAGCGCCAGCAACCCGGTTTCTTGCAACAGCTCTTTGGTTTCGGTAGCTCTGAGCCAACTCCGCCTCAGGCGCACCTGCGTCCCGTGCCGCTGCAGCAGCCGCCGCCGCCCCATTCGCAGCAGCAGCAGCATTTGGCGGCACATGGCAGTCCGCCCAACACTTTCCGAGCCGTCTCTGAAAACGATTTGTATTTGCTGGGCGCCATTGAGAAGTTGGTCTATCGCGTTGGTAAGAAATAAAAAAATACAAATATAAGTTGAACAGATAGATAGGATTATTGGAGATGTTTTAAGTTACATTTTTGCTGTTTATACTATTTAATTATATTCTAAATTACATATATACATATATATTGATATATCATAATTAGGCTAATCGCCTAAATAATTTGGACGTTAAAATGGTTTGAAGTCTTTTTCAAGCTGTTCAATGATTATTTTAGAAATCAATATTTAATTATGATATATGTATATATGAAATTTCTTTTTATGTTCTTATATGTTGTTTCTATATGATTTATATGTTGTGGTAAAAGATAAAAAACAATGGAGCGCAATCTCTCAAATCTTGTCCATTTTCATAAAGTTCTTTACTTGTACTTGACAGACAAATATCTCTTTATCACTCTTTTTTTTTTGTGTATTAATGATTCAATATCAATTAAAGATCATATATTTAGCTTATATATAATTCTAGTACCTAAAATCCTTCTCGCCGTATTTAATTTTTTATTCTACTCATAAAAATTAAAATTTTTATATATATTTCCAGCAATGTCTCTTATATATGGAATACAATATTCAAGCTCTTCAGTCTAATTTGTATTATTTCTTGTCGCCCTTTCTAGATTATTTGGAAAGTCGCGTAAGGCGAACAGAACAATTGATCTATTATCTAATGGCTGGCAATAATCAAAAGGAAGTCCGGGATCCCTGTCCAACAAATTTCACACGGATCAGCGATAATTGCTATTATATAAATAGTCATCAGCAGGTGAACTGGAAGACGGCAAACACTGCTTGCAAGGGACTATCGGCGCACCTGGCCGAATTCGAGAAGCTGTCCGAGAACGAGGAGATCATGGCCTATTTACTTAATCAGCCAACGCATCGAGGCCGTGACTATTGGCTTGGTGGTCTCAATCCGGGTCTTTTGTGGATTTGGTCCAATTCCGCCAAGCCCGTCAATCCGAATACCAACCTCACATCGATTGCAATGTCGCAGAAGGCGGAAAATTCAACAGCCTCTAATCTGGTTGACAGCAGCAGCGAGGAAACCAAAGGTGACAGCGATATACTCAACAATACAGTCCAAATAGAAGGCAAGGGACGCTGCTTGCGCCTCAGCTACAACGCGGGCAAGCACACCTATGCATACTATGGACAAGAGTGCACATCAAGGCATTACTACATCTGCGAATACGAAGACAAGACCCTGGACAATAAAATACAGAAGATAGCGCGCGATCTAAAGCTCTTTGACTAAACCCGAATCGAATAAATAATTCGAAATCACAATACTGTCTAAGATTAATGTTCAGTAACCACTCTTTGAGTTGTTATGAATTTCAATGATGTATTACTATTTAAAGCCTTAATCCGAAAAGAGACTTTTAACAGGGCTGCGTAGCTATAGTTTAACATAAGCCATTGACAGTTGTAAATTTGGAAAGAATTTCTTAATTTAACAAAACGTCTTGTATTCATTATATATTTATACATATATTATATAAATAAAATAATTTATAACACATACTGTTCAAAGGATATACAGTTAAAGTACAATTTAAGGATACTTTGTTTTTGCACAGCAAAGCTTCAAGGAATTAAGGAAATACGTTCAAAACAAAAACTTTCGGCTGAGCCGATCGATAAACTTAATTTGTGCATGCTATAAGCAAAATTGTATACACAGAATAGAGCTGGGAGATCTTAACTAGCAGCCAATTGTGACTTAGAGTCGCATTTAGTCGGGATACAAGTAATCCTGCAATATGTTTTGGAAAGCTATTTTGATCTTTCCACGATCACGTCCATTCAACTTCTGTATGTCGGGCAGCAGGCTCATTAGAAACATGGCATCCGAATCGGTCTTGCAGTCGCACAGTTCGACCGGACCGGCTGTTGTCACTGCTGTTGATGAATTGGTCAATTCCAGGCGTTGCGATGGAGTCGTCACCTGGTGGTGGGTGTGGGCGTGAGTGTGCGGCACATGCATATGACGCTGACTCAGATAAGCACTGGTAGGTGCGGCAACAACTGTCAGATTCTCATTATCCGTTGTGGATGCTGCTGTTGCTGCAGTGTTGCCAGCGACCATTGAATTAGCATGCGTGGTGGTGCTCACCATGTCCACGGCCTTGCTGCTGAAGGTTGGCCGTACAAACGAAATATTTGAATGAGTTTGTAAACTTGCAGCACTGACAGATGCCGCCACTGCAGTTGCTGCAGCGGCAGCGGCAACGCCTTGCAGCTCCTGGGAGCGAGAACGCATTGAACGTGCCTCCTCGTGGTAATTCCGTAGTTGTAAGCGGTTCATGTGCTGCAGCCGGCTGCTACCGTTGCTGCTGCTGCTGCTGCTAGCGTGTTGCTGATAATGTTGAGTGTAGCGTTTTTCTAATGTGGATGTAGAACTGGGTGCCGCAGCGGTAGTTGACGCATCATATGCTAACGAGCGCATTTCATGCTCATCAGGCTCATGATCGTGGTCATCCTCATCTTGATGATGAACACGCTGCTCTTGCTCGGCTTCGTAGTCATCGACTGGTTCTTCGCACTCTGATTTGATGTCATTGTTGTCGAGCGTATGATTTTGAAAACGTGTCCTGTGCTCCTCATCAATTATTTCATCAAGCTCCGAGTTATTGTGGTCGTGCTCATCGAAATAGTCCAAATAGTTGTCAAGCGGTTGCTGTTGCGGTGATTGCTGTGCCGAGTGAATGGTTCCATTGGGATTCACTTGCGCCGCATTGCTGGCATTGGTAGAACTTGCAGCTGGACAAGTATTAACTGCTCGTTCGCGCTGCATTCGGCTTGAGAGGTTGCTGAGATGGGCCAGTGCATCTTGAACCTGTGTATCTAACGATTTGGGCTGTTGATGTTTTTTACGTAAATATGGATGTAGGAAGAACATGCGATCAAAGTACGACCAGCATGGTGGAACTTTCTCTTCTAAATAATTCGTGTATTCGCGACGAAATGAAATGCGCAGATTAGTCCATTTGGCTAAACTAGCGCCGGGATTTTTCTCCAATTTCAGGTCAACTTCACGCCAAAAGTTCTCCACATATGGCCGGCAAAAGTAATATTTATGTCTTGGATTATAGATGGCCTCATCGCGTTGCACAATATCGATCAGCTTGAAGACTTCCTCGGTCAACCAGCGTGAGGAGCTAGCTGCACTTGCTGCACATGTATTTGTTGAGACAAATTGGCTGGCGCTATAATCGCTAGCCATGTTAGACCCTTTCTATATGCGACCAAGGTCTATCTTCTGCTTACATTTAATGAATTGCAATTTTCCTTAAGTTTTATTGAGCTAATTTTTCGCAAAACATTTAATTGTTTTCACAGTTGCAAGCGAATGGCAAAACAGCTGCTGTCAACAGCGGTTTCGCTATCGATATTATATCTGTAGTATTTTGTTTTATCGTAGTCGGTATTAACAAAATATTGGTATTTAGTATATGGATTGAATAAATAATAATTTTAAAAGTTACTTTTTAATTTAATTAAGAGTGGCATATTAAATAAAGGCAGACATAAAACATAGAAAATTGTCTCAGCTCATTAATCGTGGAATCAACAAAAATTTATTACATTAATAACAATAATTCAGGAGAGATTCTAAGCATTCCAACTTGAGTATTCGTCGAAAATCGAAGTCAAAATTCGAAAAACGGAGCTTTGCGCAGCCACTGAGCTCTGCAGTGTTGCATTATCTAGTTATCCAAGTTATTTACATATATCGATATCGATATTACCCAATGTGTATGTGGTGCGAGTGTTTTCGTTTTCTTTGCCCGTATTTGTTGTTAAATTAAAAAGCTGGTATCGAAGTCGCTTTCACACGAAGTGTAACAATTAAATGATTAAAATTGCACAGCAATAAACATTTAATTACTGTTTTTGCCTGGTACTTAAAACATTTGGTTAAGGTGGCACCAACACATAAAACTCGGCCAGACATTCATACTGCGCCGCCTCAAAGTGGAGAGCAGGCAAATTGAACAAATTGTTTATATAAAGAATATTGATATAAAGGCCATAGTAGATTAATGCGTTACCGTTACCGTTGCCGGCGACATCGATATGGCAGTAAAGGTGCAGTTCGAAATTGGTCACACATCAAAGCTGCGCAACAAAAAACATCCGCTGGGCTTCACCCATGACTGGGAGATTTATGTGCAGGGCGTAAATAAGGCAGAAATAAGTGCATTCGTTGACAAGGTCGTCTTTATACTGCACAAGTCGTTTCCCAAGCCAAAGCGTGGTAAGACTTAATAATTATATTGTTTTCGATTTGCGCGCCAAAACAGCAATCATTTCTTTTCAGTTATCAAAGAGCCACCTTATGTCATACAGGAATCAGGATATGCCGGCTTTATACTACCCGTCGAAATATATTTTCGTAATAGAGACGAGCCGAAGCGCATTATGTACCAATATGATTTAGATCTGCAAAATTCCGGACCACCTCGCCATCGTGTTGAAGTCAAAACTCATGTTTTTGAAGCGCCTTCGGAAGAGTTTCGTGCAAAATTGTTGCGTGGAGGCGGAGTGCCGGTGTTTGGTGCAAACGTTGCTGCCGCCAGCACCCTGAATCGAACGGTATCACCTAGTGAACCAGGATCAGATTTGAACGTAGTCAAGGCGAAGGGTGGTAGCAGCAGTAGTATGGTAATTGAGTCGGGCTCTAAAAAACACAAGTCGCGTACCGATGAGGGCAAGGCTAGCACATTCTCTGCACTCTTTGGCTCACCTATTACCAAAGGAAGTGCGTCTAGCGCTAATCTGCCGGCAATAAGTGCATCCAAGCACTCACCAGACACTAAGGCACAATCGGGCTCTAGTGGCGGCAAGGTCGGTGCTCACGATGGTAAGGAGAAGTCAAGTAAGGAGCGCGATAAGTCAAACAGTTCGGACAAACCACGCGACAAGGACAAAAAAGATCGACATGGTCGGGACAAAGAACGAAAGTCTGGCAAATCCGAGAGCAGCAGCAGCAAACACGACAAAGACAAGGAGAAATCCAAAAAGGATAAGTCCCGCGACAAGGATCGTGAACGAGAACGTAGTAGCAGCAGCACGCTTACTGCAGCTGCCAGTGCACTAGTCCGTCGCACTGCCAGCCCTAAGGCCGGTGGTAGAAGTGGACTAGCCGAAATGAGTCCTAAAAAGCCCACGGACAGTGCATCTGGTACACCGAATGCCCGTTCCAAAGAGCGTGACGAGCACAAGTCCACTGGGAAGTCTGAGTCAAAGGACAAAGAGCGCAGCTCAAGCAAAAAGTCGAAAAAGGAGAAAAAAGACAAGGAACGTGAACGGGAAAGGGAAAAACAGCGAGAGGAGCGGGAAAAGGATAAGCGGTCACAGAAGGACGAACGTGGACACGGCGACAGCCCCGCCACCGGTAGTAGTGGTAGCAACAACAACCAAACACAACAAGCACAGTCGCAACAATCTCAAGCCAGCTATGATTCTATGAAGGCCACCGGGAAAGGCACACCCAATTCGCTGGGCAGCAGCGCAAGTACCAGTAGTTTGGCCTCTAGCATTGGTAAACGAGCCTATGACAAGGATGAGCTGACGGTGCCGCCACAAAAATCACCTGCTGCAACAACAAAGGGCGCTGAAAAAGTCGCCGAAGGCAAAAACGAGAAATCAACGAGTAGCAATAGCAATGGCACCGCGGAAAAGAAATCGCACAAGCACAAGAAGAAAGATAAGAGCAAAGACAAAGAAAAGGATAAGGAGAAAGACAAGGACCGTAGCGAGCGCGATAAGGATAAGGAGCGTGACAAGGACAAGCCCAAGGATCGCGAAAAGGATAAGTCACAGCAGCTACAGCCAAATGCATCGGATAAGTCGACAACGGTAGCAACAGCAGCGGCTGCAGGAACTACTGAAGCATCTCCGAAGACAGAACTGAGTGGTCAGCAGCAGGCTGAAGCCAGCATGGAAAAATCTGTGTCCGTGACTAGCAAAAAAGAGAAACACAAAAAATCGAAAGATAAAACAGCCAGCAAAGAAGAGAAACGACAACGCGAGGCTGACAGTAAGCATAGTAATAAGCAGGGCTCGACACCCACGTCTGGCTCAACAGCTGGAGCGGCACACACGCCAATTAAGGGATCAAGCAATTTGGATTTGAGTGATATGGACTCGGCGCAGTCGGCTCCAGACTTGGCAGCGACCAGTGCCTTGGCGGCGGCAACAGCTGCAACACTGCAGCATTCAGACAGCTCAAACAGCAGTTTTCCTGATTTGCCAGCGAAGAGTAGCCAACAGAAGAGCTCAATGGGTGCCAAAAACGCCCAGAATAGTGCAAAGGATACCAAACCGACGGACAATGGGGGCAAAGAACAAAAAGCCAAGTCAAAGTTAGCCGAAAAGCCAGAGAAGGCAGAAAAAGTGGACAAGTCACCGGACGCCAAGGCAGAGAAGCTTGAGAAGGCGGAGCTTAAAGATGAAAAGAA